TGTGTGTGTATCGCTCCACTACAGCTGAGGGATCCGCTAGGACAGGCAGGGGAGCATCTTACTCACCCAGGCCCCTTCCTTCCCCTCCTCCACACCCAACAGCGGCCACAGCACCTTGAACAGAGCAGGCACCAGTGATCAGTCTGTTCCTACGTAGTGTCTGTGGGTGCCAGAGTGTGCCAGTGACAAATGACTGCTCTAATAGCGAGGCTTTCTTAAAATAAAATTTAAAATAGAAGATGAAATTGGCCATTAAGAGAGAATTAGGGACCAGGAGCAAACAATACTGCAAAAATAATTTCTAGAGTAATACTAATTTAGAATATGATAATGATGACAAGAAATCAGTGAGAAAGGTCAGAATGAATGGCTGTCAGTACGTGTGTGAACCCCTCGGCCCCGCCCCCCGCCCCCCCACTCTTCTCAGGGGACGGCCCCTGGACCCAAAGGCTGGGTCCCACTCTCAATGCACAGTCACCCTGACCTCGTAGCCAGGTGATGGCGCTGACCCTCAAGGACACCTTCGGACTCTCTTTCTCAAGAATGTGGACTTGCCAGCCCATCTGTGGGTGTGGCTAGGACTGTCACTCTGTTGACAGACACCCGGCAAAACCACGGAGGCAGCGACAGGCAGACTTTTTATTCCTGGATCCAGTCTCCGGAGGCCTGCTCATATTCTCGCCCTCACAGTCGGCGAGTCACTGTGAACCCCTTATAATAGAAGTCACTGTGAACCCTTATAAGACAGCTTAAGGCTGAAGCCAAGTGACTGTCCGCTCTGCAGCCCACGCTCTGTCTTCTCCCCTGTACGCTGTCTGCTCTGACAGCGGACAGGGGAGAAACTATATCTGGGGTATGCGCTCCTGGGCGCCCACCGCCGGCACTGGCCCTGTCCACCCCATCTCTTCCCTTATGGAAGAGAAGACAGAGCGTGCGCTTTTCATCCTGAGGCTAAAATGTGTAATATTTCATCCTGAGGCTAAAACGTGTAATATTTCTCAGCAAGCCGGGGTCTGCCCTCAGGGAGGGTTTGGAGGCTGAGCTGTCACAATAATATGGGAAATAATGTTCCTGACACCAGTGGGTGGTGGCCGGGGTGCTGGACAGTCTTCACAAGGAACTGTTCTTGGTCCCATAAGACATTCCCACACGTGAAAAATCTGTTTATATAGCCTAGAACCCACTTTAAAAATATTTTTATTGATTTCAGAGAGGAAGGGAGAGGAAGCGGGAGAGAGAGATAGAAATATCAATGATGAGAATCATTGATCGGCTGCCTCCTGCCCGCCCCCTACTGGGCATATGCCCTTGACCGGAATCGAACCCAGGACCCTTCACTGAGCCAAACCAGCTAGGGCGAACTCACTTTTCTTGAATCTATAAACACAAAGTCATTTTTGCATAACATTAACATCCAATGAATTTCCGAGAAACATATTAATTGAGGGACACTTGTATTTTGTTTTCATCAGAACTTGTAAAAAAAAAAACATGTTCCGCCGTAACCGGTTTTGCTCAGTGGATAGAGCGTCGGCCTGTGGACTGAAAGGTCCCAGGTTTGATTCCGGTCAAGAGCATGTACCTTGGTTGCGGGCACATCCCCAGTAGGGGGTGTGCAGGAGGCAGCTGATTGATGTTTCTCACTCTCTATCCCTCTCCCTTCCTCTCTGAAAAAATAAAATAAATTTTTAAAAATGTTCAAACACTTGGTATTAAAGTCACCACTACACCTCTCAGTCAGCCTCTATTGGTAGCTGTCAGTCAGCAATCCGTACTTACGTGTAAGCAACTGATTCCGTCATTCCCATTTCTAGTGTAGGTGTGCCTAAGCATTTACACTGAGGCACATAAAATTCTATAATAAATTAGTTTCCCTTTCCCCTCCTTTAGATTATAGTTAGGGTATCTGATATATTGTAAGACTATGTATGTAGAAAGATTATATTATATTCGAATTTCACTTGAGGATAGTTAAGGGAGCGCCTTCACTTGCTAATAAAAGGGGCGCTGGATCTGGTAGGATGACTCCTGTGTTAATCCAATGCAGAATCTGTATGCGTGGAACTAATTATCAAAAGCTTTTGGAAAAACTCCTTCTCACAGGCTGGCCCTCCAGAGCCTTCAGCTTGCCCCACTCTGCCCGTCACTACCATTCTCCCCGTGACAGGACGGAGACCTTCCTCCCACCAAAGCTGAGGTCCTACGATGCTGGGGAACAAGAAGACAGAGCATAGCCGACAGGTCCTGCCATTTCTTCCCCAAAAGCTGGCACCAAGCAGAGGTCCTCTGAGGTCCCAGACTGAAGTAGGAAACCGGAAGCTCTTTCTTTCTCTTCCCAACAAAGGGGACCTTACAATTAACTCACCACGACTCTGACAGCGAACTGGCTGCACAGCAGTACAAATAGGGCTGCAAGAGAAAGGTGGTCTGACCAAACAAACTGCTCGCTCAGCGGAGATCTGCCCTGTTTCTCGCTGAGACCTGGCACACTGAAACTTACCAGGTGTTTTGCTTGAAGTATCTAAGAACATGGGATTAATTGTATAAATTATGGCCCAGCTATAGTGGGATAATATGTAGCAATCAGAAATGGTGTTGTTGATGAATAG